CTGACTCATTCATCTCCTCCAATGAATGATTCCACCTCATATTACTGCAAAATGATATTTGCTTTTGTTTCTCTTTATCTACCATTGCTTTTAAATGTTTTTGCTTACATTTCATATACAAGTTCGCGAGACAATTTATTATCCAAGATCTACAAAGTGACTCCACTTACTGTTATTATAACCATGTCATTCCTCCAAAGCTTCACTCTGGAATATTATGACAAAATAGCAAGGACATAATTTGAAAACATAAAAATTATTACCACACAGCTGTGCAAGTAATTCTTGCACAGGTCCACAATTAATTCTATTTGTGCATATTACACAAAGAGAGTAATAATTTAACACCCCTTGATTTTTTTTCCTTTTCCTGAAGCCTATTCAGGAGGTAGTTAAAGGCCTCAAAAACCTAAGCTTTGTGCCAAATATCTACAACAGCCCTTCTGCAAAAACTTGGATGAAATAATTTAGAAACTGCTTCAGCAACCATTTGCCACAAACCAGATTGAGGGATTTGAAATGTGTACAAATATTTTTAAATAACCCCCAAAGGGGAAATTCATACTAATAAGTGCAGGCTGCTGCAGCTTGGACTGCCGGCTCTGCATCCTGGGAGTATACGTGAGTAAATATAAACAGGTTCCAGCATTTTTCATCTTCCCTAAGGTATCTGAAAGAAATACTCTGATTTTAACTGCTACAAAGCTGGGGCAGAGCCTTTTCTAATAAGATTCCGTAATCTTCACAGCACAATACTCTCTATGTGAGAGCAATCCCACGACTCATAATTCCCCAGCAGTCACTGTGCCAGGGTGAACTTCTGAGTCTCAGATAACATTACGGCTGTGGTTTATGCCCTGATTGATAACATAGTCAATGGAGGCAACCTGTCCCAGAGAAAGGATCCAAAAAGCTTTGCATAGTGTTTATGATACTGATAACCTCCTGGCTGACATCTGTGGAGGGAAACCTTTGATGGATGAAAGAGGCTATAAGATCCTGTGCACCCAGATAGCTCTGGTGAATTTCTCGTATATCACTCTTTAGACAATTATAGCACTTTCGTCATTCTATTTGGTCACAAACGCTTAACTGATTTTTATAGCAATATGCTTTGCAGAGAGTATTTGATAAATATAACGAAATCATTTTATGCTAGATCCTAGGGGACAGGCTGGGGAAATGCTGTTAAAAGCCATATTTCTTTGTTATACATCGATTAGGTTCTGTACTGTTACTGGAGCCTGAGTCTAATTGGAATGTTCAAGAGTTTCCTAGACCAATAAATCCGCTAATCCCTTGCTCCTCAAAGTGTGGCCCATGAACCAGCAGCAACAGCACCACTGGAGACCTTGTTAGAAATGCAGAATCTCAGGTTTCACTCCGACCTACTAAAGCAGAATCTGAATTTTAACAAGATCCCTAGGTGTTTCTATTACATTAAAGTCTGAAAAAAAACAGTTACTGTTAATTGACCTCAGCTCACGGCAACCACATGTATATCAGCGTAGAAATGTGTTCCATAGGGTTTTCAATGGCTGATTTTTCAGAAGTAGATCACCAGGTCTTTCTTCTGAGGCACCTCTGAGTAGATTCAAACTTCCAACCTTTCAGTTAGCAGCCTGTGATGGTTAAGGTTGTGTGTCTACTTGGCTGAGCCATGATTCTCAGTGGTTTGGCAGTTATGATGTAATTTGGCAGTCGTGAAATGATGTAATGACCTCCATAGTGAGACCTGATATAATATAATGTAACCACTTCCATGATGAGATCTGCTATGAGCAGCCAATCAACTGAAAGGGAGTTTTCTTGGAAGTGTGGCCTGCATCCAATATAGTGGACTTTCTGACAAAATTTGCTGGCTTTTGCTCGCCCTGAATCCTGCCCCTGGCTCCTGTTCATCTCACCTCCAGTTCTTGGGACTTGACCTAGCAGCTTACCTGCCGATCTTGGGATTCATCAGCCTTCACAGACTATGTGCCAGCGGTCTGCCATCTTACCTGCTGATCTTGGGATTTGCTGGCCTCTACAGTCTGTGAGCCAGAGGCCTGCTATCTTACCCGCCGATCTTGAGTTCGTCAGCCACTGCAACTACATGAGTCAAGAGAAGCTTTCAGCTTGACCCATGGACTTGGGACTTTCCAGCCTCTACAACTGCATGAGCCATTTCCTTGATATAAATCTCTATATATATTTATATGCTTCTCTAGGGAACCCCGCCTAAGCCACAGCCTAATGCATTAACCATTTGCAGCACTTAGGGACTCCTAAACTGAGGAGCACTGCTCAATTTCACCTTAGAGCGCTTCGTGGCCACAGGTGGAAGCAGTAAGCAATACAATGAGATGGAATGGGACCACGAAGTAACCAGGGTCTTCCACATCTCTTTCCTCTAGCATCCTTTCTATGGTAGTTTAACACTGACCAGCAATCTTAGACTGAACTTTAAATAACTTGACTGAGTCCTGGATTATGAGAACTAGTAAATACACAGGGGGTTCATGCCTTGGGGAAAGGCAAAAAGAAGAAGAAGGCACTTAAAAAAGAATGTCCACGGTGCATGCTGAAAATTCTTAAATTGACACAGAGCAGCTTGATTAATGTGGTGTGTGCAGAACAGAACTCTGTACACCTGAGGACTATCCGCTTGTCAGGGTAACTTTTCCTGTACTTATAGCTTTAATCTATCATGATTCAATCCATTCCTAGTCTCTTAGAGAATAGTCCAACTAAAAGAACGAATTGTTCCACACAAAAACTAATATGAAATATTGGAAGCGAAGAGGAAAAAAAGAAAGAAAGAAAGAAAATATTCTTTGGGCTTTGACTTTCTGATGTACTCGTGAAGTTTCGGGTTATAGAGAATGCGTGATTAGCTACCATGTGTATCCTATTTAGAGATTAATCATGGCTTTGAGACCCTCTTAGCTGATTGAACTGAACATTAAATTTCTGAGCTACCAAAGGAACTTCCCTAGACACCTTTAAAAGATCAATAACCAGTGTAAATAGCATACTGCCTATCAGCATCCCCTAAAATCCAAGGTACAGGGCCCTCTGCAAAATTCTGGAGATGAAATTGACAGGCACCAGGCAGTGAGACTTTTCAGGAAGACCCCCACAAAGAGAGAAACTTTTGTTAAAGAGGGAGTCTTTAACCTCCGAGTGGCAGGTTTCTGGAAGCAGCAACTACTGCATTGCTCTGTCGCTGGCTACAGGGATTGTTAAATGTGACTGTTTCCTTGTAATAGCAAGAGAACCCAGAACTTATCAGCTCTCATGTTTTGCAGGAAATGAAAAATAATAGAACTAGATTACTTTATTTTTGAAGTCTTGGGTCAGTCAAGAACAGCTCTGGGGTCCTATCACTCTTTTGCAGTCTATCGGGCCAGCCGCTGGCTGAGTGGGATATAGCACAGTGCTTCTGTAAACGGATAGAAATGTCTGACATGAACGACAGGGTTCCAGTCTTTTCAAAGCTATTATATTTACATGCAAAAGATCCTTCAGCCAAACTATGTCACAGGACCACAAGAAAACCCCCCAAAAGAAATGTAGTTTTTGTCTTTTCCTCTAGCATTGTTGTACTTGATTAAATTGCGTTAACACCGATGGTACATTTATATGATGTTTACACTTTACAAGCACTGTCACATACACTATTACATTTAATACTCGAAACATCCCTGGAAGAAATGTATTAACATCCCTATGTTGTGGATAAAGAAACTCAGATTCCCAGAGCTCCACCCAACATCTAACGGGTAGCAATTGAAAGACAAACTATCTGTCCTCAACAGAGGGAAGACAATGCTGTACTTGATTGAGAAGGAGATATGTCAACAGTCTCTCCTAATCCCACAGAAAGAAATTCGAAACTATGCAGAAAAATATACAGAGAGGTGATTTGTAGATAAAGATGAATGCAAGTCTCCACACAGAGTCATTTCCTAGATAACACCACTGTGACGAGTTCTGTTCCCTGATCTTAAAATGCAGCTCCTCTCTCCGTACTTTGGAGTTCTATTCATCTTTCAGAATTCATTATGAGTCCTTCCTCCGCCTTGAAGCCTTCCCAGCACACCCCAGCCAAAAGTCAATACTCTTTCCTTCAAACGTGGACGGTAGAAATTGCCTAGGCATGAACCATCATATAACATCTTGTGAGATGGTTAGTCATGCCCATAGCTTGCCTGCTTATTTTGAGTGTAGGAGCTGTATCTTATGAGTGGGGAATCAGAGCCTGGTGTGAAATTCATGGACTTGGAATCCCCATGTCTTCCATTCATAGCCATGGAGCATTCTTTGGGCCTCTCTGACACTGCTCTATATCATGATGACTTTAATTTATGTTAAGGGATTTTAGCCTATCAGCATGACAATATATAAGTGCCATATAGTTTAAGTTTTAACTCTAGGTGTGGTCAGCTAACATGCTCTCAAGAATGCACAGTTTGAGGGTGGTCAGTTCCCATTCTAAACAAAAGGACCACATTCCAGAGCTGCCACTGCATTTCCTATTGATATCTTGATCCATAACAGACCCTTTGCCAGTTTGAACATAAGACATCAAAAACAGGTTTTTTTCCTCTCTTGACAAAACTAGCATGCTATCAATTAGTATGATAAATGTAGAAGTTGTCTTTCATTATTGAAATTACAGGCGGTTGAGATTTGTGGATTGACCAAAATGGTTTAGAGTCCTGCACACCATTGCATCAAGAGAATAGAAGAATTCATTGAGGTCTGCGCCCTGAAACCCTTGGACACAATGTCTGAGGCTTAATTCCTAACTGGTGCTCTAACCAGCTGTTGCTTTAGGGGCTTTCTGGCCACAGGATGCTACTAGAAGGGCACAGAACCCGGCCTCAGTCAAGGAGAAAGTTTCATATAGGGCCTGGTCAGAGCTCCTGGAACGGACTTTATTGAGCTTATGAAACAGGTCATGTGAATTGTTTTGTGCCTGTTTAGATAATAAATGGGGGAGACAGGCGGCGAGGGCAATGGTGGTTCAGTGGTAGAATTCATGCCTCCCAGGCAAGAGACCCAGGTTCAATTCCTGGCCAATGCATCTCATGTATAGTCTGGCAGTGAAGGATTGCCGGTTGCTATGATGCTGGACAGGTTTCGGCAGACTAAGAGGGACTAGGAAGAAAGGTCTAGTGATCTACTTCTGAAAATCAGCCAGTGAAAACTCTGGATTGCAAGGGTCTGATCCATAATTTGTCATGGGGATAGCCCAGGACAAGGCAACATTTTGTTCTGTTGTGTATGGCAGCTAATAATAGGAACAACAGATAACACACATTTGTCTAATAAATGTCCATGTCCAATTCAAGCAGCCAACAACCACGTAAAAAATGCTCACTATTATTAGCCATTAAAAAAAAAAAAAAAATCCGTTGCCATCGAGTCAATTCTGACTCATAGCAACCCTACAGGACAGAGTAGAAGTGCCCCATGGGGTTTCCGAGGAGTGGCTGGTGGATTCGAACTGCTGACTTTTTGGTTAGCAGCTGAGCTCTTAACTACCGCATCATCAGGGCTTCTCATTAGCCATTAGAGAGATGCAAATCAAAACTACAGTGAGATACCATTTCAGCCTGGCTAAAATGGCACTGATGAAAAAACAAAAAGAAACAAACAAAAAAACCCTGATAATAACAAATGTTGGTAAGGATGTGGTGAGATTAGAACCCTTATCCGTTGCTGATAGGACTATAAAATGGTACGGCCACTGTGGAAAACAGTATGGCACTTCTTCAAAATCTAGAAATAGAACTACCTTATGATCCAGATAGCCAAAAAAAAAAGGAAACAACCTAAGTGCCCGTCAGTGGATGAGTGGAAAGCAAAATATGGTACATACATACAACGGAATACTACAATACTACACCACCATAAAGAACAGGGATGAATCTGCAACACGTGTTATAACATGGATGGATCTGGAGGACATAATTCTAACTGAAATAAGTCAATCACATAAGAACAAATATTGTATGATTTCACCTTCATAATAGGATAATAATCGATATATAGAGAGAGACCAGTGTTCATTGGTGGTTACCAGGGATGGAGGGGGGAGAGATTCACTCTCTAGATTGTAGATACTTGTTATTTTTGGTGATAGGAAAAGTGTCACCAAATGTAGGTGTAATGAGCACAGCTTAACCACAGTAAATGATGTCACTAAGAGGTGCAGAGGTGCTTAAGAGAAAAGCATGCTTGTACCAAAGAATTTGGCATATATAATTTGGCAACTACACCAACAATGATCAAAAAACAAGTGTATGTGTATAGGCATATAGATATATGGGTAGGTACGTTGTTGTTACTAGGTGCCGTCATGTTGGTTCCTATTCATAGCGACCCTATGTACAACAGAATGAAACACTGCTCAGTCTTGCACCATCCTCGTGATCATTGTTATGCTTGAGCCCATTGTTGCAGCCACTGTCTCAATCCATTTCATTGAGGGTCTTCCTTTTTTTCTCTGACCTTCTACTTTACCAAGCATGATGTCCTTCTCCAGGGACTGATCCCTCCTGATAACATGTCCAAAGTACATGAGACGAAGTCTCGCCATCCAAGCTTCTACAGAGCATTCTGGCTGTACTTCTTCCAAGATAGATTTATTCATTCTTTTGGCAGTCCATGAAAACCTTCTGAATACCAATTTGTGTAGAAATTGGCAAATGGGAACTTAATTTACTGTGTAAACTTTCACCAAAAACACAATAAAATATTATTTTTAAAATGTCTATGTCCAATAAATACATGGCAAACCTTGATCTGAGACTTCTAGAAAGACTAATTCTGCACCCTTATCCACCCAGAAGAACATAAATGTTTCATAACATAATAGGCTTTGGTCAGTTTACCCACTTGCGTATCTTCAAACAATGATAGAAATAATGATAGAAACAATGATAGAGGCATTGCCTAGATGCAACTCAGATAATGAATACAATCATTTAGCAGCTCATTCAGCACAGTCCTTTCACTCTCTTTTACTAGATGACTAAATTACACTTTTCCTTCTCTTCCTGAACGTCCAACACCTTCTGCCTCTCCTCACTCTCAGCTAATGAACTTTCTCCCTCCTCCACTAAGAAAACGGAAGCAAAACAAACCAATTTCTGCCAATGCTACCACTACATCTACCGCCTCAGTTGCATCTGAACACCTGGGATTTGCTTACATCTTGTTACTGTGGTGATGGGTTCATGCTCCCATCTAATGCCAGCCCCTCTGTGTGTCTCCCTGACCCCATCACCTCTCCCTTACACAAGTACATCACTCCAACAATTGCCCCACTCTCTCCTCAATCATCATTCCCATCAACATGTAAACATTACAAAAATTCTCATGCTATAATTTTGACTCAAATTAATAATAATAAACCTTCCCTTGATCTCACATTCAATTCAAGCTACAGCTCTTTTTGCTCTCATATATTTAAAAAAAAAAAAATTGCGCAAAAGAGTTAGCTATACTCCTTGTCTCTAACCTTTTACCTCCTAATCTTGAGACCATTCAATCAGGCTTTTATCCCTAGCACTCCACCAAATGGCTCTGGCCAAGGTCATCAATAACAACCCAAATGCTAAATGGTTAATTCTCAGTCCTCGTTGTATTAGAATTATCAAGAGCACTTGATACAGTGCTTCAGGTCACCACTCTCTCCAGGCTATCCTTCTATCTCATTAGTCACTCCTCTCCATCTCCTTCACTGGTTCTTCCTCATACTCTGGACCTTCACATATTAGAGTGGCCCGGACTCAGTCCTCACAACTCTTCCCTATCTTCATTCTCTCCCTAACTTGATCTCATCTCATACCTTTAAATAGACATTGATATGCATATGGTCCTCCCTAATTTATAACTCCAGCTAGAAATTCTCCCAAAGACTTCAAGCTCATTTCTTCCATCTACCTTGATATCTACTCTTGGGTATCAAACACGTAGCTCACATTTACCATGTCCAAAAACCAAACTCGTCATCATCTTTCCTATCCTTATATCAGGACAAAGTAATTCTATCCTCCCAGCTGCACAGGTGAAAAAACTTGGAGTCATCTTTGACAGTTCTCTTTCCTCACATCACACATCCCAATCATCAGCAAATCTGGTGGTTTTTACTTCAAAATCCTGCTTCTATTCATCTTGATCACTATCACTCTATCATCAACTCTTTCCTAGATTATTGAAAAACCTTCCAACTAATCTCCTTGCTTTCGCCCTGGCCTCCATAGAATCATCTCTGTACACAGGAGGCAAGGTAATTCTGTTAACAGCTAAATCAGACCTTGTCACACTTCTGCTCAAAAAGTCACAGTCCTATTAGTGACGCACAAGGCCCTTTATACTGACCCTACCACCCCTCACCTCTTTTCTCTGACCTCATGTCCCCTTACCCATCTCCAGTTGCATGTACTGTTTTTCTAGCAGGCCAAGCACATTCACCTCAGAATCTTTGTGCTGGCAGTGCCCTCTGTCTGAAAATGTCTCGTCCCAGATTTTCTCATGGCTTTCTTCCTCACTTTGTCAATGAAGCTAGGCTCATACATCACAAGATAAGTGAGGCCTTCCTTAACTTTCTTATTTAAAAAACACCTCTCAGCATTCCCCATCCCCTTCCCATGTTTCTCCAAAGCCTTTACTATTATCCAGCATGCAATATACTTACTTATTGTTTCTGTCTCTCATTAGAATGTAAACCTTACGGGGCTTCCCTGCCCTATCCCCAGAAGCTAGAAGTGTGCCTGGTATATAGTAGGTTCTCAGTAGACATTTACTGAGTGAATGAATAGAAACTACTTCACAACTTTCATTCTTGTCATCATCATCATCTTCATTATCCCTTAAGGCCCCATCCCAGGGTCTTCCCCAAGAGAAGTATGTGATGGATTGTTGCTGATGGTGTACATGTCATGAGTGTACTGTGATCAACATAAATCTCTGCTTCCTCCCAAGTGCCCGTAGATTTATAGCCCCATGATTTAGTAAGAATTTAGCCCAGAGTAAATTTTATAGCAATAAAAGACCTCCTTCTACCCACTTAGCACTTATTGAGGATAATGGTGATTGTGATGATTTTTAAGACATCTCAATACAATACTCCATAGTGAATATCACATGGAAAAAGTAGTTTCCTAGTCCTTTAAATAATCTATAATAGTAACTTTGGCCTAAAAATAGTGAAACTAAATTTTTTGAAAAATAGTTAATATCCTCTTTATTCTGGTTCCCATTTGACCGCCTGTTGCCATATCAACCCAATAGGAAAGATAACACAACCTTTTCACCACCATTCAACAATTAGTGTATTCAGAATTTCCTGAGTCACAGCCCTTTTCTATCCATATCACACCATCCTCCACATTTGTTTTATTTTCATAAATCCTATTAGTAAATTCTTCATGATCCCAAATAACCATAAATGATTAAGCACATAATAATTGTAAATTCACCAAAATCTACATATGGAATTAGCTCAGTTACTCATTTTGAGAATAATTCAAGTCCCCAAAGAAACTCCTATTCCATTGCTGTGTAATTTACTCTGAAATTGTAAATACACCAAGACTTTATTCATATGGGCTTCACCAATCTGGAATTTGAAGACATTTAGACAAGGTGAAAGCTGAAAGTTATCTTTGATTAGGATGTTCTTCTTTATAGGTTGAATAGATTAATAATATAATCAAATATAAAGGAGAAAAAAATAAACTATTTGAGAATAAACAAATGTTACAGAACCCTTGGAAATATTAGAAAAGAAGTTTAAAAAAAAAACATAAATGTTTTTTCAAATACTTTGGTACCATTTAGTAAAGTATCCAGAGCCCTGGTGGCAGAGTGGTTAAGAGCTACGGCTGTTAACCAAAAGGTTGGCAGTTCAAATCCACCAGCCACTCGTTGGAAACCCTATGGGGCAGTTCTACTCTGTCCTATAGGGTCTTTATAAGTCAGAATTGACTCGATGGCAGCGGGATAGTAAAGCATCCAACCTAATAGTAAGGTAATTTCAACTCTAATTCTCTGGTTCCCTCAACTCTTTGATTT